GGGAAATGGAGGGGGGGTTGATAAAAGTGTCGGCACAGCGTGGTTTCTCTCGGCGTGTGTGGTTTGTCTGTTGGTTTTGGAGGGATTTTGGTGCGCTGCACCAGGGCTGAAATGTTTCAAACAAGAATGGAAAACCAGAGAAATAACAGCAGAGAAAGAAATTGTTATAGATGTTTTTTTCTTCCATCTCTTTTCAAGCAGAGTAAGTCTCTGCCCATCTCTCCGCTGGTGGCACGGGGGTCTCTGGACTTGACGAGTGGTTTTTCAGCCTCTTGGGTTTGAGCTCAGATCCAGGCTGCGTCATCTCCTAAAGGTCCAACATTGTCGGAGTCAGCTTTTCTCACCCTGGCCCCTTTTCCCAGCGGAACCAGCCCTCAGGGCTGCTCCTGACAGCACAGCAAAATCCTGCTCTCTTAACGCTAATCTTGCAACTGGGCATTATTTTTTACAGCCCCTGGAGTCACGCTTTGACTTGCTCATCCCAAAACTCACTCATTTTTTCCAAAATCTGGGTGCAGAGGGAATGCCTTGGCCCTGTGACCAAAGGCAGACGTAAGCGCACCCCGATTTCATAATTTTTAAGCCAAACTCCTGTTTCAGGGGGAAGGGAGAGGAAAAAGCTCTTTACATGCTGTCTGCTCGGGGGCTCCTGGCCCAGGCAAGGACCAGCCCCTGGGTACGGTTTGGGTTGTTTGGGCAGCCGGTGCCCGCTCTGTTTTCTGCAGGGTGACAGATGGAGGGCTCTGATGGACCCCCCCGACGGTGTGGGCTTGTGGGCAGAGGATGCCACGGGGACACATCCCTCGCCTGTGCTGCAGCCTCAGCTCTTCTCTGCCTGAAGAAGGCTGGCAGAAAGCCTGACAGGGAAACCTGGGGGCGTTTGGGGCCGTTTGGCAGAAACCAGGTGCCACGGGGTGAGCGTGATCAGGCATGTGGCTGCTTGAATGATTTGAGCAGGAAAAGAAAGTGTGAATGAGCCGTTCATTATCGCTGATTAAAGGTAATGTCGTGGTGGTACCCCGAGCTGGCAGCAATCTTCCTTTCTGCTCATCTGTCTTCTCTGCCTTTCGTTTTGGGACCAGGCTGCAATTTCTCCATTGCGTCTTCCCCCTCCGCAGCTCCTCGCAGGCGCTGCGCTGGCTCTTTCACTGCTCACAGTAGCACAGATTTTCTTCTCCCACGCTCCGTCTCTTGCTCCTCCCCACCTTTCCCTCCAGGAGCCCCAATGTCCCATCTGCTGCCACGAGAGCCGGTGCCATCGCTCTGCGGGCTGACGCACGGCCAGCCCTGGGGACCGAGGCACGAGCCAAGGCGATGCTCGGAGCCAAGGCAGGCACAGGCAGCCTGAGTTTGCCCAGGACTGGGGCTGCAGATGGAGGGTTTTTCTGAAGGATGAGGTTCACTAAAGGATAAGGAAAGGTTTTTTGGAATGTGCTCACAGCCTGCGTTAACAGGCACTGAGGTCTGGTGGAAAATTTGCTGATTAGGTCCCTCCTCTAGCATTTGGGAAGAGAGACAGACCTAGAAATGTTTGGCTGTCTTGCAGCCCCTGCAAACTGCTGAGCCTTTGGGCAGGATGAGTGCCTTCCACTGGTGCCGAAATCACCAGTGGGCAAGATCTGTGATGTTCAGCCCCAAAATGATGGGGCATGTGTGGTTTGGGGCTTTTTACGGTGCCCCTCTCCAGCCATTGCTCTGTGGAGGGATCTCGGCACCTTTCCCTTCATCCTGGGGACAAAAAGCGTTTGTTGAGCTGCTCCTCGGGGGTACCTGTGCGATGCGTCAGTGCCTGCTCAGAGCCATCCGGAGAGGGGACAGGGCAGGGAGCTGAGGCTGGATGGAGAGAGGCTTTGGAGATGAGGATCAGCAGGCAGCAAACGCCGTGGGAGATGGATGAATTTTGGGGATACGGGAACAGGGAATGGGTCCAGAAGGGACGGGCGATGCTGAACGCGAGGCTCCCTCCTGCCTGGGAGGGCTGCACAAGACTCAGGCAGCTGCAGGGGACCTCGGCCTCTGAGGAGCTTTGCAGCAAGGGCAGGACAGGGAGAAGAAGGCATCTCCTCAGCAGGGCGGGGAATGGAACGGCGCGCAGTGGAGAGGGAGAGACCTCGCCAGTGCTACCGAGAGGGACGGTGAGCGAAGGCAGTGGACGGCAGCTCTCCCGGAGCCGTGGGAGTGTGTTTCGGAGCAGCTGGGTGATTTGGAGCAGCTTGGCAAGGTAAGGACTTGAGGCCTCTCTGTCCCCACGAAGCCCCAGAGCAGGGTTGAGCCCTGCACGGGCCAGAGACTGCAGTGTGGGCTCAGCCCCTTTGCACGGTGGGGAGGGGACGCAGCCCGGCTCTGCCTGCGCCCAAAGGGCAGCCTGGGGCTTTGGGTCTTGCTGGCTGCTGTGTGGACACGCCAGCCCACTCTTAACTCTGTAGCCGTGCTGGGAGGATTGCTGGACTGGGAAAACGGAGCTGGAGGCATCCATTTTCCCAGCCATCCTCCTGGAGGAGAGGGTCACCCGGGGTTTCCAGCTCCTCCCACGCTCCTGCTCACAGCCATTTATCTCTATACTGTAGCAGGGAGAAATGTCACAGCGACAGCTGATTGCTTTAGGTGTTTTAATATCCGTCTTTACCGGCATTCTCCAGCCTCTCTGTGTACATCCGTTACTCTGTCAATAAGGATAACCGGGACAAATAAAGTTGCTCTCCTTCCTCTGTCTTAGCTCCGTGGTTTAGGGAGGCCCAGTGACTATTTATTCAGGCACGCTGGCTCCAAGCTGTCTGCCACCCAAAAATGAGAGCTCCCATTCTCCTCTCGGGCTCAGCACGGCCCTGGAGCTTTAATAGCATCTTTGGTTTATGTAGTCTGACCTGTAACTTCAAGGTTAAAAAAGAAGTATTCAGATCCTTCATTTCTCCTTCTCTGCCTTTTTGCTCTTTCTCTGGCTGGTCAGTTCGCTGAGCTTCTTGTCTAGGCGCCGCTGGAGATGGGCTCTCTTGGCTGGGTCCAGGGACTTGTCTTTGGAGCCGCTCCCGGGACAGAGAACCCCTTCTCTGCTGATCCTCTGCCGCGCGTGGGCCTTGGCCTTCTCCCCGCAGCCGTGAACCTATCGGAGAGAGAACGGACACCGGTGGCAGGTGGCAAACAGGGCAGCGACCACGCATCTAAGAATCAGGCGATTTTATTCCTGGAGGCTGGAATTCCTCTTCCACCTGCTTTGTGCCCCCCCTAAAACCATCTCCTGTTTATTTATAGATCCTCTGACAGGAAACAAAATATAATTTCTCTCCTTAGGGAATCTGTGCAGCAGGTGAATCATCCTTTTGGACAGTTTAACTGTCTCCTTCCAAACCTTTGAACATCGGGGGGAAACTCGCACTCCTCAGGTGAACAGCTGGATCTTTTATGGTTCCCACATGAGAGCTAGAAACAAAACTGAGCTCCTAATTCCTAATGTTTTCTGCTAATACAGTATGACTTGGGAGGGAAAAAGAGTGAAACAGGAAAGGTGACTTGGGAAATGAGAAGAGATCTTTTTAGCTGTATCTCTGTCTCTTTAGTGTAATTAGATCCGTTTTCTGTATTGGAATTAGCATTTTGAAGCTTTTTTTTTTTAATTCCATGCAGGCAAGCCTTTTCAAAAACCAGTCTGTGCAGAAGCCCAGGCCATGTTTAAGGTGCATTAAGCCAAGTTCAACACCATCTTGAATCATTTCCACCAGGTCTAAATTAAAGATCCTAAAAATTTACCCCTTCTGCTTGGTCCATCCCAAAGTCATTTGCTGTTTTCATGAACATAAGCTGATCTGAGGATCCCAGCCCGCTCTTTCAGTGCCGTGATGAACCTTCCTGTCCCGTCAGCGCTGCCAGAGCAGGCTGTCAATGACTGGGAACAGCCATGCACAGCACCCGGCAGGGACCTCCGAGCCGAGCACGGGAC